GTTTGCCAGGTAGTTTGCATTAATTCAGCACTCTTGGAAATTAGAAAATGTGTTCTGAACTTACAAAATCATATGTCAGATGTAACAGGGACACAGAAAAAATGGGCCCCTAATTACTGGAATTACCCACATCTTATTTAATCATCCGCTTTGACTAAGGATTTTTATTTCTTCCTCTGGCAGCACTCGCTCGGTTTCCCGCGAAGAGAAGAACCTAGCCACCTTCCTCAAGTCTCCACCCTCCAAGTGGGTAGAGGCCAGCTTTGAGATCGACGGGCCGTTCTACTACTCGGCCCTCTGCCCGGTGGTGCTGTCGCCAGAGAAGTGGAAGGAGTCTCGGGTGGTGTTGTTGAAGATGCTGCTGGCGGCAGCCCACGTCCGACATATCAGCCCCATGGGGGCCACAACGTGAGTGAACGCAACAACCCTCAAAGCAAACAGCTTCTAGACATTGCAGGTGGAATCACTTCATGCAAACTAGTCACGACAAATATTAGGAATCATCCTTTTTTCCAGCATTTCCATTAACCTTTCCCCTCATCTAGAATGAGAATCCAAGAAAATGACTGCCGGCCAGTCGTCGTCTTTCACAGTTTATGAAAAACATATAACCGGTTGTTAACCCCTTCTCCAGTGTATATATTTTGAACAATCCTGAATGACGCACAAAACCGATGGCTCCTTGAGTTAACCCCTTCACGGTGGGATTACTTTGACCGCGACTGGTGGGCTGTGGCATGCCCTGAATGGAGGGCTTTGTCCAGCAGCAGGCCCCATTGAACCAGCAGCTGCATGGTGAATAGACTGTATGTGTGGTATGCACTAATCCTCACACAACGGTGCGGTAGTAGCAGTCCTCCGTAGTGAAGGGGTGAATTAAAAGTTATGCTGTCAAAGTTTGTTAGCATATGAAACCCGGTATTGTCTTCAATTGAGAAACCAAAAAATATATGATATTAATGACTGATTTACAATCAACGTTAAAGAGGCATTGTGACTGCAGAATTTGGAGGTAGACGTTCTTTTCTGTTCACACCGTCAAGACCTTTTGAAAAAGTGCCATTTCTTGTCATCTCACTGAATGCGGACTTCGACCATTTTTTTAAAAGTAAACACTGATAAAATGTAATCACCCCATGCTCCCACAGCTTAACTGACAAGCAAGTCAAGGACTACATCATCTACAAGCCAGCCCTGGTCTTCTTCTCCTTGCTAGACTCCATGTACCAAAAGCTGCTGACGCCCACCCCACACCAGGGCTCCAGTTGGCCGGTCTCCCTGGCGCACTACATCCGTCATAACGACGAGGCCATGCTCAAGGCGGGCGACGAGGTGATGACGCTATCATGAAAATGCGTACATTTTGATTCCCAATAATTGCCTCCAAAAAGAAAATAAATGTATATATGTATCAAAGTTGGAATTACTATCTAGATTTATGAGATTTGAAATTGGTAAAATTTATACTTTTTTTTTTTTTGCAGATTCTGTATCGCTACGAGGTTGACTGTCTGCCTTGCGAGTCGTTTGGTGAATTTTGTGATGTCACAGGTAAGATGACAGGTTATTATTTTAAAGGTTGGAAAGTTATTTCCATAATCCCAGGATATGAGAATGTCCAAGGCTCATATCTTCTGATTCACAATAAAAGAAAACCCTTAACTCATACAACACTCTCTGATCCATCCAGAACTGCCAAAGTATGGAATGTGATCAGATGGGGGAGTGCCTTTTCCTTATTTCTGGCTTGACAGTTTTGGCAAAGGGTGAAAACAAGGCAGAGAAGTAGTTATCCCCCTGACATGTCACCCTCCGAAAAGTACTTTCTTTAAGACCTAATAAAACGGTTGTGAAAAGTTTGAAGTTGATAAATAGTCACAAATACATCCGAGTAAAGTTGAATATGGGAGTTATTTTTCCATGCTTATAATTTTTTTTCTGTATTCTTACTTTCAGGGTTGCTAGGAGACATTCAGAACCCAGACCAGTTCCTGGCAGACACCATTAGCTCTATGCCTTAAACGCGCGGTCAGCATTTCCTGCTCAGAAAATTCCCCAAGTCATTTCTGTTATTGTGTGTCACAGACAGCATACTGTACTTAAGCCACATATTCACCTCTGTGAGAATGTGATCACAGCAGTACAGCCTTGTGCTGTCTGTCGTGGTACCTTTTTAGTTGGTAAAAGTCACACTTGGTCCTGTACCCTGTGTCTTTCTTGCCCTTGACTGGTCTTATATGCAGTGTTTGTGGGCCCCAGTGGCACAGTGCACTGTCCAAGTCCAACTTGCTATTGGCTCTGCACCTAGCTCGCTGAGGGCGCCAGACTGCACTCACAGTCATTGCAGTCCCCTGCTTCCTGTTCTTGTCGAACATGTTCATCGTTCTTTTTCACAGTATCGTCACTGTTAGTGATCTGCACAGCACTATTTGTGATCTTGTGATTTTAAAGATATAAGCACAAGTGATGTCTGATAAAGTCTTAGAATTGGGAATGTGTCGTATTTAGCTTAGAACTCAGTTTGTGCTCCTGAAGTTCGTAATATTGAAAAAGAAAGTCAGAAACTGGCAGAATCTTGGCAGACCTGAAAAACATTTAAAGAAATAAAGAAAATGTCTACTTGTAACCCAACAATAAAAGTATAGGCCTTGTAATAGTAAGTGCAAAAAATACATGAGAAGGCTGTAATAGGTTTGGAATACATGCAGTATAACCTTTGAAAGTCGTTGGCCTGTGCATAACTTGAAGTACCCAATTTTTCTCCTCAGCGAAGGAGCAGATTACATATGGTTGAACATTACTGTGAATTGTTGACATGCAAAATAAGGTTTTAAGAAATTTATTTATAACCTATTTACTGGTATCCAGAGATACCTGTTTACCTTTGCAAACTTGGAACTCTGTTATTTTATTTATATGCAGGTCTTAAAATTTTGTAGAGATGGTTTCACTGTGATGCATGTATTTGAGATTTATGCATTAGGGTCGATGTAACACGGTTGAAACTTTTGCTTCTTGCTATCGAAAGCCTTAGGCACCTTTTTTTTCAGGTTTCACATCAGAAGTCTTGCAGAAGTCGTGGAGTGATAATATATTTACCCCTTGAAGTGTTTCTCAGAAATTGTAGGAAATTTCTTCTTTAGCATTTCAACAAACCAAACCTAGCAGATCTTATTTTGCAGGGATATTTTTGTGGATTTAAGCAACTGTTTGATTTTTTTAAAAATTAATTGCGGCAATTTGATAGACTTTGAAAATGTTAGTATCTTAAAATTATTTACAAATTTAATTAAAGGGCACAAAACGCCTGTAAATGGGTTTAACTAAACTTGGCAAGCTCAATTTACCAAATTTCTGTCGCTCTCTCAAAACTAGAGCTCTTCAGATAAAGCATCGTAAATTTTGTATTTGATATAGGTGTAAAAATATTCCCGCACAGCCCCTTTGTATTTGAAATATTCATTATCGCTCATGTTTTCGTACTTCAAAATACGTTGGTATGAAAGATTAGGAACGTAAGCAGTTTTCTCTTTTCCAAGCTTATGGGGACAAAACATACAGACATCGTTGTCGGGGAAAGAATGAGTTATGTTTGTCACGGATGAAGACTTGACAATTTAGATTTGATTGGGCATTGAAAAGTCTGGACGAGTTAAATAATTTGACTCCATATATTCAAGATATTGTTGTGAAGTTGATAATGTAATGATATTTCAGTAGTTAGTTGCAAGTAGAATGTGATTGGTAAGTGTACACGATACACAAGCCTCTTTCGTAATGTTGTTCACTAATATTGAAAAACAAAATTGTTGAAGTTGTTTATTGCGAAGTGCCAAACTTTGCATCAAATGGTAAACAAAAACCGAAGGGACGACATTTAAATCTGCCTTGGAGATTCTCAAAGCTCAAATTTTTAGTATAAATTGCCTGAAATGTTTAATTTCAAATTATTTCATGAAGCGCATCTTTGAATTTCTTTGTAGTGATTTCTCGCCCCAAGCTATTCAGCACGAGTACGTGTTTGTCAAGCTGTAGGCCTACTCAAGGTCTCCCGAGCTCAATATCTCCGTAAATATTTCCTCACTTTTACTTAAATGCTGGCAATCGTTGAATAAAGCAGTGTGGCATAAAAAAGACTGAGGAAACTATCATCTCTTTCTGCTTTTGTTTTCATTTAGCCGTTCTCGGGATCGGTGATTTAATAGGCCTGGAAAAAAAACAAATCCGCCCTTTATCATGACAACAAACAGACATGCGCGCCGACTTAACCATCGTCGCGTCGAGCTGGAGCCTCGATCCCAAGAGCGCATGCGCGCTAACTTAGAAATCGAGTCGTTTGTTTCGAATTTAATGTTTATATATTAGTTTCAAACACTTACAAGTAAGAGGAGCGTATTAGCCTAGTGGTAGGCACTCTGACGTTCATTCAAAGATCGTGGGTTCGAATCCCGGCAGGAGCAATGCTGGGGAGTTTTATTTCTTTTTACTTCGAACTAACCTCCACACAAAAAAGTAAAATTCCATTTTATTTTATCTAGTTAGCTAGACAACCACCACGGGAGCTCCTACCCTGCGCCAGTTTCCCCGGCGGGATTCGAACCCGCATCCAGCTGCCCAGCCGCCGACCTCTCTACCGAGTACCCTATCTGGGTCCCCCAAGTTACAAACGCTCGTTTCTAATATTTATCTAAAGGACTCGGCCAAAATGACGAAAAATTTAAACTGCCCTCTAGGGTTCGGGTCTTACGGACAGGATCTCCACGGCTTACCTCTCACTCTGTGACACCTTTCAACCCGTCTTTTGATGCTGAAGCATCGTGGTGTTCAAAAGGAGTTGGATTGCTGGTTGACCCGCTAGGGCTATCTCTACACTTAGGTAAACCATTGGTATATCAGTTTCGGATATCAACGCTTCGGATGAGGGGTTAAATTTTACATGGATGCAATACTGTGCCATACGAACTTAGAAGTAGATGCAGTGATGACATCGAAGCCGTAACCATCTCAGGGGAATGTCCCTCCGAATTTTTCAATACACTTTAATCGTTTTGCGAGCGGTAGTGACATCAAGATTGAAGAACCTTCTGTCAGGGTTTAACCACGCACTGTTATACCCATTTAAATGAATTCACCAAGTTGGTGACACCAACATAGTAGGATTTGCTCTCTGACTTGAATTTTGCGACACCGGAAAGTGAACGAAAAACAAACGGGTTGGCAACTGCAGAGATGCCTGAGTGAAGTGTGCAAATTTGCTTCGATGAGTAAGATGGGTGTAAACGATTATGAATAAGAAATAAAAATACCAGAATCATTCCAATTATAACAATATAAAAATCAACGCAGTTTTCCGGACCTGGTGGAAATTTTAAGGGGGGGCGAGCCTGAAATTCTACGCCACGAGATTCACGAAAAAAACTTCCACGAAAATGATTTACTCATAGCATCAGTTTCCGGCAGATTCCAACATTGTTTAAAAACTTACATCCTTTCCTGCGTGCATCTCACCAAATCTCTACAATGTATTGTTCGCGAAAGGGAGAATAAAGTCCATGGTCCCAATTTTTTCCCGCAAACGGATTACGGACGAAACATTTTTTAAGACGGGGGGAATGCACTTCATGCATTGTATTTCGGTCTTCAAACTTTTTTCATTAGCGCAACACGTGCAACGACCTGAACTGACAATTTCAGAGATGAAAATTTAGTTTATAGCTTCTAATATGCTACAAAATGTCGACTTTTAAATTCTCTTTCAGGAGGTCACATCCCCCAACACTTCGTGAAAAGTTTTCACAATCTCGACAGGTTTTTTGCATCCAATGCGTCCATTAATTTTTCGCCGTAACACGCTCTTGAAATAAATCGGAGAGGCAAGTTGTCCATCTTGAATGCGTGATGCAAATAAAACATCCGTTGATAAAACGAAGGCGTAAATTCGGTCCAACAACATCTATTCAGTTAGAAATAAAAGCTATCAACGCAGGCAACAGCGCTTCATGTACAAACACATTTCGTTTTTAATGATAAGTTTTTCACCTGAACAGTCCACATTATAACCCCAAACACCAGTTTTTAAACTGTTGCAGGAATAAAGTTACGTTGTGACCGAAGAAGCCGTTGCTCCAGGTTTCCATTTCAGAATTATGATCTCCATGGTTTTACGATTTTTTACTTAAACGATCCAGAAAGGGTGATTTTCGGTTTGGCACTGGAAACGGGTAGTTTGAATTCTTATAACAAATTCCTAAAAGAACAGCATCTTCGATTTTAACACACTGGGCAATTTAAAGCGCTCGAATGGATGGAAGGATTTAGGTAGCTCTCCAAGTACAGTTTTGTTTATGGTCAATAACCACGTTATGTACGTATACCCACATGAACAGGTGTACTTTTCGGCACATTTAAATACAAGCCTATGAGGCTCAAACAATATAGTCTGGTGCCTATCACACTCAGCTCAATCGAGGACCGCTGCCATGCACTCCGGATACCTGACCAAGATGGCCGCACATTAACACAACATGACTCAAGTTACATATTGGTGCATCGAGAATCACGTTTCAATAAATTATGACAGAATATAACATGCATTAGAATATAAACAATGAAATAGAAAGTCCAAAATTTGATCACACGCAAACAGGGCTTGTGTTTAACACAGGAAACTACTTCACTTACATATATATGAAGTTTACCCAACCCCCCGAATTTACAATTCTCCTTTTAAAGAAAGAATTTCAATGGCACTTTTTGGTTCCGCAAGTCCAACTCTTCTCGACAACTAACTAAAGGTCCCTGGAATGTTTTCCTGTCTTTACATTTCTAACCCAATTATAGGCTTTAAGAGCAAAGAAGTATGAAGGAAAATGGCAACTACATTTGACATCTATTAATTACAAAGAGAAAAATATCGACGAGCATCCTTAAAAAAAATGGGGAAAAAAATCTCGCTGTGACTTTTGCAATCATCCCCTGAACTAAACTGTAAAACTTGATAAAATACCCTAATTTGTTTGCAATATTTATTAAAAGGACCGCTTGGACGAAAAATCAGACTTTTATTGAACTCCCATTCAGAACATTTCCAACCAGACAACTGATGCTTTGCCCCTCTGATACTCTTCAATCAAGCTACAAATTCGTTAATAAGCCAAGAGTTCCTGGTGAACATGTTAACCGTGTGGAGAATGACTAGTAGAACCACGGCTAGACCCAGAACAAGTCTACCAGAGCTGGAACCATAACCCAAACCATAACAAACCTGCAATCAAAACTAGAACCAAAACCAGAGCTAGAACTGGAACCATAACCTGAGATAGAACTACAAGTAGAGCAAGACTTAGAGGTAGGACTACCCACAGAACCAGACCTAGAACCACATCCCTGAACAGAGCTAAGCTCAGAACCAGAACAGAAGTGGCAACACAACCAGAACCAGTGCCGGAACTTAATCTAGAAGCAGAACTCCAATGCTACTTATATGCTCCACAATAAAAAAAATTAAAGCGCGAAAAGGCCTAAACATAGAGCTGAACCATTTTGTGACCTTTGAAGCGTAATTCTCTAAAGCAACTGTGAACAAAATAGTCTAATTTCTTCATCAAGAAAAGCCGTTCCGAGAATTCTCTTATTAAAGTCCATCAGCTAGATGTAAGCAAAATTTTCATTTGACAGTATCCAACAGCCTCTACAGTTTTTGTAACAATGGAAAACCAACTACAGATTGTACAGATTTGCCAGCAGCCCGGACAACCATTAAACCCATCAATGTAAGGACTTGCATATTGCCATAGCAACTAATATTTGCAAGGGCCATTCAGTCTGGGCGCTTGACCTTGCTTAACAGTCAGTGTGTTCAATCCTCAACTACTGGGCAAGTCAACTACAAAAAAAGATGAGCCCCTCTGCTAAAATGCACAAACCCATCCCCGTGCCCAGGGATACTGGTGACTGGTAATGTCTTTCTCATAATAATGTCAAGCACAAAGCACTGTAGGTATTATGATCTATTTATGCAGCTTCTGTTTTCAAACAGAATCTATCCAATGACAGCTCATTAAAAAATAAGCCATGACCAGCACTCTTGAAAATGGCAGGGGTATGAGAAAAACATACCAAAAGAAACAATAAAAATGGACAAAATTCAAAGACAAATTCTTAAAAGCTAAAAAAAAGCCAACATCTTAGCCCAAGTTCTGGTGCAGCATTAGAAACTTTCTTTAAATTTTCTGGGCCAGGACATTAAGTAAGCATGTAAACCATGAAGTTTTGGATGCCATCAAATTTGAGCAAAAAGCATCAATGTCTTTACTCTTATTTCAATAAGCAAAGTAGCCAACCCAAAGAGTGAATCATGCCCCTATTACAAAAAGTGGTCACACCCCTTCTGCACCTTCACACAGAGTCCATTATTCAAATTCTCTATACATTGTATACAAAGGAAATGTGTAGCTAGTACTGTTTTGCTTTGTTCTGTGTGCTCGTCAAAAACAGAATAACACTCGAGTTTACCCTCCCTACAGGATTAACCCTTCAGTGAAAATCAATATTTTGAGAGAGAAAAAGAAAAACAATAATCAATACTCCATTATGAATTTTAAGTAGTCACAGATAGTGCATATATGGTCTTCTGTTCTTGTCTGGTTCCCACTTTGCAGTTCTTCTGCAGTCTACTGTGTAACTTGGGATATGGGAACCAGCCTTTCTCTGATTGTTAGGCCGTTTTCCAATACTCAACTTCGTCTCCGTCTTCGTGTAGGAAACCAATCCCCAATTGTGGGCCTGAAGCATTTAACTTAAATTGAAATATTGTAATGCTTGGCTCTTTTGCATCTTTACTAGATCTTTTGTGGCACTATCAGACTCACTATTGAGCTTATAATCTCAAAGTCAGGGAAACAACAAGTTGAAGCCTGAGACAGAGCCCAAGTTGAAAAACGGCCTTAGGTTGAATTCAACCTTCCATGCTAGTCTGTACTCACTCTTCAGTTTAAATGACAGCAAAGTGCATGTGCACTGGTGACATTTACCCTCATCACTCTAGGCTACAGAGCGCCCTCTTGAGTTTGTGCACCAAATGCATTAAGATCACTGGACAAAAATTCAACTCCATCGGAAATGCAAACAGATTCCACAGAAAAAGTCAGAGCAACTTATTTTTTATTTGTTTCTACATGCAGTAAAAGTAACGGCTTGGCCTCCTTACTTTGGCATCACTCAGTCTGACCTCCTAATAAATGCAGACTGTATGTAGGTGATAATATAGTCTTGGGTCCAGGATGCCTTTCGCAATGCTGCGATCCAATACATGTGCAGTGCGATTCATAATGCGATTCACCGTGACAGCACCCTCTTTTGAGGAGTACAAGCTTCCTGTTTTAGCGATTTGTCTGGTGATGGTTCCTGTTGCGAAATCAACAGGAAGGTCTTGAAACCAAGACTAGTGATAATGTTCAAGATTCCTATTGATTTCCAATGTACAGGACATATATGCAAAGGCCAGGTATTCAAACATTCTGACAACTTGTGACTTCCGTTGCAAAGCTGAGACACAAATATTTTTGTGGTTTGGACTTGTCTATCCCAATTCCAAAGATCAATCATCGGTTCCCTGTGACACTGCAGCTGCTAGAAGAGAGCAAACTAACTCCTGATCAATATTTGTCGTTGAAAATAGAGATGGTGAATTAAAAACTACCATCCTCTCTCTTTTGCTGATACAGCTGAACCTTGAACGTTGAGATTAATTGTTGAATCGTTGATCAAATCGCTATCCCATCCAAAGAGAGCAGTAGCAACATTGTGTTGATATATTCCTGTACCAAAAATTACTTCCATGTCTCATAGACGTTAGGCAAAACCATTCATAAAGTTTCTCATGTTCAAAATGGCTGCCATCCATGGTTGCTGTATCAGTCAGGCCAAACGAGACTAGTCAGTGACGCCCAGAATGAGGACATTTATTTGTGGAAGTTGACTTCAGAGACAATGCAAGCTTCACATTTCACTTGATTGTGATTTCCAAGAACATCCAAGAGCATTCCACATTAGAAAGATCTTGTGTCTCGTCCACAGGCCAAGAAATGTATGAACTTATAACAGTGGTGACCTTCCAAAATTACCAGCTGGGGAAGTAGTTGTTCCCGGAAAGGAGGCTGTGGGCAATCTTGTGCCTAAAGCTAGGTCCACATCTTTATTGGTTGCAAACAGAAGGTGTGGACTTTATACGCAGCCCTGGGGTATTAGATCCAGCTCCATGCAAAAAAAAGACTGGTGCCCAAGTTGAATCAGGAATTGACGGACAAGCATTCAGGGAAAAAGACCAAGATGGCTGTTAAAAGGTGGAGGTTGAAGGGTCGTGACCCCAGATCAATTGACCCCATTGCTCTCTAGTCTCTGCATAGAGCTCTCATTGTACACGTTCAGCATCTGTTTCCGCACTTGTTCGGTCAGTTCTGTGACATCCTCTGTCGTTTTCCCGTCTGTCATGATTGGAGGCAGGACTGTGATCGTAAACTTTCCTGTTCCGTCAAAGAAAACCAGAGCTTTATCCCTTTTTTGGATTCAAACAGATCAAAATTCTACACTCCCAAAAGAGATATCACAGACTACCTGCACATTACAACTGGCATTCACATGAGGACACAACTTTGTGCACATTCAAATGAAAAGTGGATCCCACAATTGGTCACACTCTTCCTGAAGTGATAGCTTCTTCAAAATGAAGTCTTTTCAACAGACGCCCCTTTTCACAAGGTAAAGACTTCAGAAAATTAACCTTACATAACTTACCAGTTCCAAAACGTTTTTCTTTTTTGCTGTAAAATTCTGAGTATGATGAAAAAACAACTGGACACACTGGCACCTACAAAAAAAAAACAAAACTAAAGATTTACCAACCTGCTTTTTAAAAAAAAAAACATTAAAATTCACACATTAGAATTAAGGCTATATTCTTTTGCCTGCCACTTTCTGTTTGTAGACAAATGAGGGTGCTCTAATCATAACTGTGCTCACCTGAGCTGTGATTGCTAAATGGAAGGCACCTTTCTTGAATGGCAGCAGGCCGGCATCGTGGTTTCTTGTTCCCTCTGGGAAAACCCAGACTTTCAGCTGTAAAAAATTTAAATTAACAACAGTAAAGTAGAGGGCAAAACCAGACCCGTGGGTGAATTTTGGATTTATCTAAAATGGTGGATATTTATTACCACCAATCCAAAAAGTACCAAATAGTAACCAAACATCAGACCTCATCTCACTACTTCTGAAAAAGCAAACTTTTTGAAAATCTAACTTGACATAGCAGGCAGGATTACTTTCGAAGGGACAAAAACACCACAAAGTTACAAACCCGAGCAGTGAATAGGCAACAGCTTCCTTTAAGTGTCTGCACACACACTGGCGAGATTCAATGGCATTCACAATTTCCTAACTTACGTTCTGTTCCCTCAGGACCTTGACAGTGGCGTCGATCGTTCCCTTGGCACTCTCTGGATTCAGTCTGTCGATGAAGATGGCCCCCGTCAGCCACGCCACCCAGCCATAGAATGGAACCATCCGAAGCTCTTTCTTTGCCAAGGGGACGCACCTGTCTGGCCACACACCGTTCATGTACATTCCTATGGAATACAGAAAGACTGATTCATTCATGGTGTCACTTTTATTTATCACGGGTAGCCCTGTCAGTTGCCAATGAACTGTTCTCCCTTGGGGTCTTGGTGGAGAATTCAATAAAGAAACTTCAGTTTTAGAAGTGGGAGGAAAAGCCCCGGACAAATATTCCATATATTCCATGGAATATATATGTACATGGAATCACGTAGGGCCAGAAAACCCAGTCCATATGTTGGCCCGGGTGGGATTTGAAGCTGAGCCACAGAGGTGGAAGGTAAGGTAAGACTCATCTGGATAACATAAATAAATTTTACAACAGACCTAAATTTTTGTGGATTTTTTTTTTTTTTTAATAGTTCATAAAAAATGATTACAACTGACTTCAAATGTCAGGTCATTTACACATATGTAAATTACAACCATTATCGACTTGCCATAGGGGATTCCGGTTACCGAAACGTATTCTTTATACGTGTGGCCAGGGTCTCTGAAATCGGACATAGGGAACTGGGCCTCGTAACAAAAGACGGTACATGTATTCGTAACAAAAGACCAGGCCGCTGGGAATTACCAACATTTTTTCACTGTCAATAGTGGAGATAATCCAGCCTTGTTTTGAAACTGTATACCACGGTTTGGGGCATTCAGCACGAGCGGATTACCACCGGGGACAAAAACGCTCCACCATGAGCCACACAGTACCTCTGCACGCTAATCTGGCCCCTATTCAGCATTGCACTGTGCCAGTTTTGTGAACAAAAGGAAATTACATAGCACCGCACAATCTGGGCTCTTTTTACAAGGCAGCAGGCCTGGCTGAAATATTCCAGCATCAAAAGATGTTGTCTGTCAGATTAGAGTAGAAACCAGACAGTCCTTCGTGTGGGTGTAAGTGTGCAGTAAATGAAAACAGGAAAAAAATGAAAATTATCTCATCATCAACATTCATAAATGCCCCCGGCGCGATGTGGTTAACACTGCAATGCTGGTGTTGTGACCTCAGAAATTCTCCACATATTATCTTCTGGCAAAGATTAGAAGGAAGTCATGTGTTATAAAGGCCTCACCTCAGCAAACTTGTGATTTTTGTTTTAATATTGGGTTTTACGATCACATTCTACATGCTCCCACAAAAGATGATGGGCTTTAATCCATCTGCTTTGGACTGGCCTGTAAATTTGCAGCAATACATCATTTCATTTAATGAACGTATACACCCACACGAATGACTCTTTGGTGGCTACTCTAAGCTGACAGGTAACCTTCATTGACTCCTGAATATTTCAGCCAGGACTGCTGCCCTGTAAAGACCGCCCAGAAATTTGAGGTGTTGCATAATTTCCTTTGTCCCCAGTAAATGCGAGTGGCATCTTTTCAAGCAAGGCTGCATTAGCATGCAGCGGTGCTGTGTCGCTCATCAATGGGGCCCTGGAGCACTTTTGTCCACGGTGCTAATCCGTTGGCGTGCTATAGCTGAAACAGCGGTATATTGGTTTAAAAACAGTGACGGATTACCTTCGAAAAATGCAAGCCGAAAAATGATGGTAATTCCCAGCAGCAGGTCTTTTGTTCCAAGTACAGTCTTTTATTACACGAACCAGCTCTTTTGTCCCATTTCGGGCACCCTGGCCCTGCATATAAACCCATGGTGCTCGAAATGGGGTTTCGGGTGCGACAAAAGTCTGTGTGGTGCATACAGGCAGCTCTCTATACTAAGTGGTAACAATGGAGACCCTACATTGAGCTAACCTCAAACGGAAAAAAAATCTTCTTTAAAGGTGGCCTTGGGAATATGTATACAGACATTTCACAATGAACATATCATCTTCAGCAGATTATTCAATGTTGGTTTGGTTTTCCCTCCTAGGCTAAGACTGCATGCCGTGCTACTGCTGTGCCGAACTTATTTCAAATGAGTGCGGCAACAGCGCGGCAGTTGCGCTAAACCCCACACTTAAATAGAACAATGTCATGTCACTGCCATTTGGAACGATGTTAAGGCAGCATACCCGGTCGAGCTCAAGGGCTTGCGATGCCGAATTCAATATGCCGAGCTAAACTGTGCTAAAGGCAGTGCTACTGCCTTGCCAAACTTAAAAGAAAGACATTATTTGACTTCAGCACGGCAGTGGCAGGGCGTGTAGCTGAGACTTTATTATTTACAATTAATAGGGTTCAAGGTCTGCAAAACTACACAAGGTCTACAAAAGTTCGCTGATTGACAGGTTGAGAAAAAGAAACTTCTATTTATATAAGAGAGCAAAGATCACGCAAACAGTCTGTGTGTTTACACATGCCTCTATCATTTCTAACTGCAATTGTATTAGGTCAAAGTGTTTTCTATTTTTGCAAAATAGGCCACTGTTTTTAAAATATATTTATTTTGAAGATTTATGATAAATTGTAAACATATGATTAAATGCGCAGGTGCAGCTGTCAAACAATTCTGTTACCATAACAGTGCACTGTTCACGCAATAAGATCTGTGGAGGTAGATTTCAAATGGCTTTGTTGTTTGCTGCTTTTGTGGGGATGGGAGCTTTTTTTCTTTCAAACTGAGCAGCCCGCTTCTTTAACATTTGGGGAGTTTGGATTCACACCTCTCAGCAGAAAATGTGCTCCTCAAATTAATCTGGTCAGCTCAAAATTAGCCCTAAACCAGTTAAAGTTAACCAGTTGTGAAAGGCACATCTTGGTTGGTAATCTGCTTCTGCTGAGCAGAAATTTATTTTGCTCAGCAGATTTCTATGCTTTGCAGAGTTTCTATGAAACTTGCCTTTCATCTTAGCACAATTCACAGCGAATTCAACAAGCCCTTATTCTTAGGATTTGGATTCAGAACTACACAGAATTAACACGGATATCGTGAGTGACCCTCACTCCGTCAGCTCCTTGTTATGAACCTTCCTGAATCCTCCAAAAAATCCTCCAATGTGCAGGAGAACAATGACACATTCTTTGCACATCAACTTTCAAAGGGCTTGAAACCCCACATAAAGTAAAAGTGACAGGACACTCACCAGGTGTGATTAGAATATGGAGGATTTAGAAAGATTTGGGTGCTAATAGAATGTTAAGTTTAACTAATGGATGTGCCAGTGAACAACGTTGGATAAGGGTAACCCTGAGGCATTTACATGTAGTCAAGGAACCTACCTGATTCCTCCAAATTCCTAAACTGCGCAAGAACCAATGGCCCATTCTTTTTTTCAACTCCCACTTGCGTTAAGTACAGCCAGGTCATGTCCGAATAATGTGACTATGGCTTGGAACAACACACAAGTCTATGGTAAATGGCTACAGCTACTGGCAGCTTCCATATTATTGGCAGCCCTAGCCAAGTCATTTAAAACAGCCTCACACTGACTTGGCTGTACCATCCTAAATCCATCAAATCTTTCATAGCTTCCTAGTTGATTTTGAAGGATCTATGGGGTTTGGGACAAAGAAATTCTCGAGCAGTTCTTTACCAAATAAGTCCAGCGATGACTGATGGTTGGCCACCACCACACAAGGTTTGTCAAGCCTTAGATTCTCTGAGCCCCGTATCTCCGCCCGGATGCCAAAGAGCTTGGATGTGTAGGACAGAATCCAGCAAATCAATCTGTGACAATTGGGACAAATGATTTGAGACAAAACAAACTTAGAATCCACAGATCTCTAGTGCTCACATTCAGCCACAAATATACAGAAGGTCACTGATTTTTGGTACTGATAAAGTAAAGTTTATCGGTTACGGGTCACCGGGGATGCAGCCATGATTTGTGAATGTGCATGTTGGCCCGCATTATTCCTTGGGCCTACTGCATGTACCACTGCAAATATAAAACACTATGGCTATAGTGACAGCTCTTTAGACTGGTTATCTACTTCCACTCCACCAGTCTCTCCACTGGACACAAAACCACACTATAATCTGTTACAAATGGATCTCAGACCTTATATTACCCTTTTCGAAAAATCTTCCCGAGGGCATGAATCTACTAAAGAAAGAAAAGAAAGCATCTGTGGACAGTAAACACAGGATTCTGATCTAAATAAACAAGCAGTTATGCTTGACAAGCTGTTTGTGTGTATCATTGAGGCTCCGAAACATATCACTAGAATAAAATGGAATCCAAATGTTTATAACATTACCAGCAGTGCTTGATGTGCAATGCCATAACTACTGTATAACGTTTTGGAAATATTGTCCTGACTGCCACAATTCAGCTACTGTGAATGTAAAAACTGTCAAACATCTCTGTACTGTCCTGATCCTCCATGCACAAGGAGAAAGGAAATGTAGTGCTAACTCGTACATTCCAAAGTGGGCGGGTGTCATGATTCAGTCGCAGACTTCAGCGTAACTTTGTACATGATGTACAAATGGAACACCGTGTGGATACACGTGAGAAATTGGGGCAAATTGAATTATGTTCCTTCAACTTGTTACTTGAAGCTGAAGTTCATGCATAATTTACATCAAAATTTTTCTTCTGCCTAGACTGCCCTTGAAAGTTTGAGTTTGACTCTGCAAGAATACTAATTACAATGTAACAAGGCGGGCAAATTCCAGTACAAGATCATAATTCATTTTTAAATCTTTACAAATACAATTCCATTTGCCAAATGCCATGGTAGTCTCTGAAACTTAAAATAAAAGCGCCCTCAATGGAAAAGGTAATTCACATTCAAAACATAGCATAGGTCAACTCGTGTAGGCCTGTGTTATTATGTACGTGAAGTAGCTAGCATTGTAAAAACTCACTTCGCATTTTCTGGGTCGCGCCACCTATGCAGCCCCAGAATGATTGTAAGAAGCGACCCAAAGGCCAGAATAACGTACAGAAGCCACATCTTGGCATAGTACTTGAACGTGCTGCTCAACTCATAAAGGAGCGGCAGAAATATTAGCACAGAAACGATGAGGATTTGAACGACGTCCACGTCTTCGAGCTCCATTTTTGAAGAACCGACGTGAATCTGCTAGTTAAATTGGTAGTCTGCTTTCTACTTCGATCGTTTTCCACTCCATTTGACATTGGTTACCAGCGTGTGAAATAGTCTGGTAACCGTTTCGCTGTTCCGTTTGTCCGGTTTGACTTCGTGATTTTCAGCGGGTCCGTTCGAATTCCTCAGCCTGTGCAGCTGGTCTGCGAACGGTATGTCGACCGATTGAGATACGCCACAAAGTAGTCTGATCGAACTGGCCGTGGAAGAATGCCAGTGAAACAATTCTGCTGACAAAAATTGTTTAAGCCTTAAAATGGAAAATGGAAATGGCGTGGAGATGGCATCTACCGTTGCCGTGACAACATTTGATGCAACGATTTTTGCTCAGGTAAGTACTTGGTTTAAATTCTAGCTTTTAATTGGGTTTTCTGTTAGCATGGTTAGCCTGCTTTTTTACAAACACGACAAGAATCATATTAATAGATATGCCTGTACATGTGATGCTACATACTTATGTCGTTATCCCTATTTTGTAATCCAATACACAGATTCCTGTGAAAGAAGAAACAGTCTTAGCAGAAGATTTCATATTGACAGTCGGAAAGTCTCTTGGTAAAAATTATTAGTTCAACCTCATAAATCATATCTGCAGTTTCTCTGATTAAAAAAACGAAATTCATACCTATATGTGATGTGTGCCTTTTTGTTTTCTTTTACTTTAAGGGTTGAAAACAAGCAGCATTCAGTTCTTTGGGCTATTCCAAGGTTTACTTCATCCTACAATAAAGTTCAAGAGTATTGATGCAGTGCCAATGAATGTGAAAGGTACTGTATTCAGGTTTTTACATTTCCATCAGTTGTTTGGTAGTTGGTGTGCTGGTTTGTTAATTTTTCCACGTGTTTATTCTTTGCTGCCTATTTATTTACTAGTCGCTATTGCCCGACTATGTCCAAATATTAAAAAAGGTGATTTGTAAAGTCCAAGTTACTCTGACTTTTATTTACAGGCTTTTTTCTTGTTGCTCCATTTATAATTCACATTTTCGTTGCATTGAAATGGAATCAACCGTACACATTTTAAACCTCCCGACATAAAATTTGCTCGCAATCTCTGTTCAAAGTAACCCCACAGAAAGGTAATTTAGTACCAGGTGCTCGTATCTGAAACAGAATTCTGGTTAGAGTTGATTTTTTTTTCTCCTCAGGCCTGACATTCCAGAAGTGGTGTTTTGATACCAGAAAAGAGAGCCAAATACTGAGTGATCCCATCGCGACTCAACTCATTTGTGCCCAGTCAAAGGCTTACATCAGGGAGGGTTGGTAAAGTCATCAGATTCTCAGAGAAAATACCTTTCTAAATTGTGTACAATTGTAAAATGTAAATGTCCTGACAAAAGGTTTCAACTGGTGAATGACTGTTCTCCTTGGCAGGTTTATTGAAACCACCTGATGAATTTTTGGCAGAGCTTGAAGGTGAGCTGGAAGTTGTAGTTTTCTGTAGTCCCTCGCAGATACCGTTAACTGATATAGGATTCCAATCTCTGGCCTGTAGTATCTCTGACCACCATTTCCTTGATTTCTGTAGCATTGCCTTTGTTGCTAGCAGCACGGCATTTGAAATGCTTCCAAAGTTCAGACTAGCACACCTCAAAACAAAGTTATCAACTAAGACTTACAACATGGCGCATTGTTACTCAATCAAGAGAGTTCCGGTACTGCACTCCTGGGGTCACAGGTTCAAATCCCACTGTTGGCTCAGAGAGATCACTGCCAAGATGGATCCGAAATTATTTGTTAGTCACTAGTCCATTTCGCCCAGTAATCTACAATCTATGTACACAGTATATCAAGGATACCAGGCAAACTTGACCAGTGGCCATCAAATGGTCACTGATAAAATTTGGCCTTATTTTGGACCTTCTTAAAGAAATATGATTTTTAAATCTTGAACTTGCATTTCAAAGAGGAAGTAAGAACAAACAACAAACAAAGATGTTACTGGACAACCGTCTCGTAATAGGGCAAACTGACTTAATTCCAGCAAGGATAGTAACTTACGGAAAGGGACAGATTTTCAAATAATATGCTATAATTACCTTTTAAACAGAAAACAAGGACCCTTCCACTGCTGCAAAGTTCGTGAAGTTGTGCCAAAGCATCCCGGACTATAATAGCATCCATCTCCCGGACTGCCGGCTTGACAAGGAGTTCTGGCTGCTGCCACACATTCCAGCGGACAGCATTGTCACACTCACCCTGCTCCAGCGAGGGATGGTGCTAAGGGTCGACTGTAGCGACCGAGAGGAGGAGTATTTCATCTCCTGGAGGAAGATCCAAAGGTCAAGACTTGAAAATGCCTTCATCCATTTTTTTTCTTGAAATTCTTAAATGACTGAGATGCATACTCAAAATGAAGAGCGTCGTAGGTCATTCAAGAACACCAATACACGTGCATGCTGTCGCGCGTGTGCATTGTGTTTGATTTTGCCTCGCCTGTTTGAAATCACGAGACTCATTGATCGTTGATTTCCAATAAAAGATTATGTCTATTTGAATGCTTCCACCTGTGTGTTGTGAAGAGTTTAAAGCCAGCAAGAATGTCAGAGTTAACCTTGCCCACACTCGAATTCTGAAAAAAATATTTAAAATTTGTTTTTTATAAATTTTGTTGTTTGTTCATCTCAAAGATGGAGAAAAACCGAGAGGGACGAATGCCTGGTGATGTATGACGTTTATTCCGTGCCAAGTGATGACTTTGGCGGCCTTTGCATACAGACCTTGCAAGCCAAGTACCTGCTAGCAGCTACCATGGAGATGATTAAAGGACTTCAGGTAAACAGGAGGGGGAGTCTCCAAATCACAGCTTTGTCCCCAGAGACTGTAAGATTTCAGGGATGATTATCTTAACATACAAATCAACCAATCTGGAGCCTTGTCCAGTGGTGTTCAGACCAATCACCGCAGTGAGTTGTGTCTGACGTGAGCGTATAGCAGTCCAATGTGTTTGCACAATGTGGATGACTTTCACGGCTCTAGCGTGCAGTGTGACATAGGGGCAACTTGTACAAAGTGCGCATGTAGAGAGTAGACATGGCTTACTAGATCAGTGTGTACTGCGACATCAGATGTGTTCAGTCGTTCTGTGATCCACTTACACTGCTTGCAAACGAGATTATTTTCATGGTTTGATTACCAGCTACTTGAATATACAATTAACGTTCCCCGCTAGGCATCAAATTCCACCTTCATTTCATTTTTTTTCATCAAATGCTGTTTTTTGCTTTTTTTCCCCCCGTTGTCTTTTTTTCTCAGAGCGAGCTCGGAGGGCCTATCTTTCAAACGTCAGACCTGACCAGGAACCAACGGCGCGAGGTGATCGAGTGGAACAACATTGTCTACAGCAAGACCAGGTTCAATGTGGAACGGGAGATAGCGGAAAAATATGTGGAAATCTCCATGCTGCGGTGATTTGTCAAACACGGACACGCAAATGCAATTACATGTACAGATTCAACATTTCTGTCTTCTTTTCCAAAGGGGCGTTAAATATTTTCAAAACACCCTTTTAATTTGAAGAAACTTAATTATTTCAAGCAACACCTCTCAAGATTTTGACAACTGTCAGTTTTGTTAACAATGCCATAGTTTGACATCATAATACACAACATGATTCCAGGAGAGACTAAATTTGCATTTTGACTTGTTTACGGAATTGAAAACATTTTCAGAAAATCGTCATTTCTCTTGTGTAATCCATATGAACAAAAGTACTTCAGGCGTTGAAGCATGTTGCTTGATTTCTAAGACTGTTGACAAATGTGTAGTGTTTGTGACAGGAACCTACATCCAAAACTTCCCACTTCATGTTGGTTTTGTTCATTGTCGACCAGAGACGTTTGTAGTGACATTATCAGTGCATTTTACAATTTTGAAGTCTTTCTGTATTTTCCGTACCAGCTATAGATAGACTCTCCAGTAAAGTAATTACACAGTGCAGTTTTGTAATCGGTATATTTTTGCACTGTTAACTTAACGCTTTCACTTTATAATGTTAAATAATATTAGATATATGTTTGTATATACTTTGGAAAATGAACGATAGTTTGACAGAAATAAGTATATTTTTAGAAAGATGTCTAGCTTTGAATGACCTTGAAATTTGCAAGAATTGAATATCTAATTTATATTTTCTTGAGTATTCTATTTCATTTTTAAGTGAACTAATCCATCGATAATTTCACTGAATCGTTTGTGACAAATATGTAAATTTTATGTACTTCATTTTTATAATGCCTTCCTTGCAACTTGTGGAAGTTGGTTCTGAGATTCATCAAAGCAAATGCCTTTGCCATTGTTAGCAAGTAAAACATTTTATTTCTTTGCAACATTCCAGTCAAATTAAATACTTCATCGTCAAAAATACTGTACAACTAAATTCCTCCACTCGGCAATGCCACAAATCACCATTTAAAAAATCCAATATTTGACAAAAACGCCCGTGCTGCTTCAGCCATTTGTAAAAAGCTTCCACCCAGAGTAAAAGTTAAAAATGTACATATGCTGTAATTGACGTGTATGTGGATTTGTTTCCAGAATATTGAGACATCTACACTGCCATACATTTAGGTGGTTTTGCAGATAAACAAAAGGCAACAAAGTTTCTAGCCTTTTATTTAAATAAAGGAACACTTTTGAACCACTGTTGTGAAACACTGGATAAACAGAGCGAAAGTACACCTCATGCATATTTATAAGCAAATGCACCTCTACTATTGGTCAGTACTCTAGCGCATTACAGAGGTACATATTAAATGACTCCCAAATATATGCACTTTCTTCAGAAACTCCCTGCTTGGTAGAACTTTTTGATAGTACACAATGTTTCAGTAGTGGTAGTACACAATAGTTGTGTTCCCAGACTCTAAGCCTTGCTGATGCTGACTGAAGCAATTGGTGAGCTGACTAAGAACTTTTAATGAGGTGCACATGAACATTAAGGAACCTGAGAGACTATGAACTTGAGGGCAAAATTTATACACAGTAAATGTTACAGGACGTGGCATACAGCACTATTATGGGGTGCATATCTGGAAACTAGTTGATTACTGCTCCCTCGATATTAGCCAACATGGGTTAATGCTCTACAATCTGCATTTGGGAATGGTCTATTAAAACTTGCCCACTCAGAAGAACCAGTAAATTACTCAACACTTCACTACAATTCAAACTGCAATTTACCTTCCAACTTGACTTTTTCACATCATGGATTTGTGCCGCGGCCACAACCTCACAGCAGTAGCACCAAGGCAAATTTGCCAAATATTATTCACTGATTCTACTTGGAACTTCAACATCATAGCAGTGAAAATTTCCATTCGTTAAATGGAAAGATGATTCTCGTACAGCGGTCAACCATTATCAACAATTGTGCGTGCTTTATAAAATAAAAATTCTGGTACTTCTGTCATCATTCTTACCAAATTGCCACTGGCAAATAACACGAGTGTTCTGGCACAGTTCAATTTTACTTTTGATACAATTACATACAACATCTTTCAAATACTGGAATCCTACGTGTCCATTAGCCCCTTGATAGTTTGGCTATTAACCCTTTGATAGTTTGGCTATTAACCCTTTGATAGTTTGGCTATTAGCCCCTTGATAGTTTGGCTATTAGCCCCTTGATAGTTTGACTATTAGCTCCTTGATAGTTTGGCTATTAGCCCCTTGATAGTTTGGCCAGAATGCATCCTCAATCCCACATCAACTAACTGCAAGACAAAACTTGGAAAACAAGGAGCTTAATGTAACATAACAGCGGCTGGTTTCTACAGCCTTGAATCACTATGGACTGGGGATCAGCGTTCTACACGAACATGCATGACCCTATAAATCCTCCCAGATCTTGCAAAATCCCTTGTGAGGTTCTAGAGGATTTTGTAGGATTTGGGAAGATGGAACCCAGCCACTATTACATTAAATGGGGTTTGATGCCCACTGAAAGTTGAAGTACAGAGAATGTGGAATGGTTTTCCCCCGAAGTATAGGATTGTGACAAATTCTGGAGAGTCCCTCCTAAAAATGCCCCGAGCATATTACAGTCCATGGCTAGAGCACCACAAGTACAACCATGGAGTAACCACTGTATATTTCTAAGGTGACCTATATTACAAAAGAGTAATGAGTAAATGGCACATAGGTTTAATTACCATTAGACAATATCCACTACTTCGCTGTCAGTTCAGAAGTATTTGAACTGTTGGTTTGAGGGCTGTACGGAAAGCCCCAAGTCAAGATAGGGCAATCATTCTCATCATTAACTTCCCGGCTGCTGACCCTTCCTGATAAAGTTGCCTTATCCTTCCCCAAACAGTTGCCCCGCCCTCTCTCCAATTATGGGTCCCCACCTACCCCCCCAAAAACAGTTCTCTGTACACAGCCTTGAGACGTCCAGTCCGTCAGACGTTAAAGCTCTCCCCGCATCCGCAGACCCCCTTGATGTTTGGGTTGTTGAAAACAAACTCGGCGCTGAGCCTGGTCTGCACGTAGTCCATCTCCGTGCCCAGGAGCGTCAGTTGGGCCTTGGAGTCGACAAAGACCCTCACACCTGGGAAAAAAAAATGGGCAAGGAGATGAGACAGGGAACCATGTGGAGAGAAAAAGCTTCAGGGGAACTTCCCCAAGAAATCTGAAGACCAATTTCCAGGACTTATGCAGGACCTTCCAGGATTAGAATCTGACAATCTCCATGACATTTCACGTCATTTTGCTGAGAAAAGTTGTTTGGTATTATGAACTGCAAAACTGCCATATTAAACCACTACTGCTTACTAACAAAGATAGCCTGTAAATTTATCATTATTCCGTTGTCACATTAAAAGCAGTCCGTGAAAAAAACAACCCTCGCATGATCTTGAAATCCATGGCTTTTCCAAGACTCATTTCCTCTGTCCATATGATTCCTCTTCACAATATTTTTCCCCCCAATTTTCAACGGTTTTTCCAAGACTTTCAAGGACAATTTTTCTAGGATTTTCCATGACCATCGGCACCCCGAGTGATGTCTTACAGATGCCACTGTTGTTTTGTAGTGACTTAAATCTCGAGACACTTAGACACTATGCGCAGAAAAAATAAGCAGAGAGCCAGTCTCAAATAACATACCTCGCATAACACTTCGGTTGGTAACACGTTTTTTCTAAGCCTGTATTTTGTGTGCTGTTCCTGTGTCGCTTTGAAATGAGACCTTGTCTCAAACTTGTGGCTGCAGCTGGAATCAAAATGTGTGCCTATGGAAGCCACTGGCTGGAGGCTTAAGCCACTTCCCATAGATGTGCGTTTTGCTCAGCCGTAGGCAGCTGATTTGGACAAGGTCTGATCCAGACCACTACTCACCATCCTGCACCACTTCCTCATCAAACTTTCCCTTCTCCGTCGCGTAATCCAGTGTGTAGGTCAGGCCGTTGCAGCCTCTCGTCTTTACGCCAACTCGCAAACCGACAACATCGGGCTTCTCTCGTAGAAGTCCTTGGATCTTTTCAACTGCACTGTTGGTCTAGTACACAAAAGAAAATTATTTCTCTAATGCTTTCATTTTGGTCAGGGGTTTCTGGGAATTTGACACATTAAAGATGTGTCAAATTGTGTCAAAGACATTATCAAGCTACAAAACTGAAAGTAAAACCTTGAGGAAGAGAACTTGTGAGTTATTTTTTTGAGGGAAACTGAACATGTTTAGTCACAGTTTCCACAAGTACATGGCTCTTTTTATCTTGTCCACATTCTGAATCAGAGAGAGGGCAGGCGGGGCTGGGAGGGGGAATCAAGGATGCGTCTCCTTCACAAGGCCAGAAGAACCAGTCTGGACCAACGAGGCATATCTGGGTGGGCCATCTCTACCAAGCCAGAGGAACAAAGCGGAGGTAAACCTACCAGGACCAGGGCTGCCCTTTGTGGGATGAGGCGTTTGCGGCCTTGCATGGCGCGGACCGTCGCTCTGCCTAGACTACCTGCTGCTGCTGACATCGTGGGATGAGATTAAAGGAGCACCACAGGTGATTTCGTTCATTGTATCATTGCACTGTGGGCAGAGAAAACAGCAATGTTGCCTCCTTCTATAATTTTTACACTGCAAACCATTCTACTGTCTGAAGTCTAGCCTAGTTCATATTTCAGGCAAACGCAGAGTAAATTAGACACAAAACATCTACAGCAGCGTTTTTTGGATGTGAGTTACAATAAACCCGGCAAGATAGGGGACCAACAAACTTTACCAAAGCGTACACCATTCAATGTGAAATATTTGACAACTGTAATTTCATGGTGTCTGGTGAGTTGACTTCCACAATCGATGCAACGTGGCACTGGTGGTGCAAACAAGATGTTCCCAGAGCTGGATGTTGAGCACCGCAAACTACTCGCGCTGGAAGTATGCACCGGTGGAAGTAGTGGGCCTGGGGTCTTCGTGGGTGATGGTGCACAGAGCTTGACATAACTCAAGGTCTGCAGATACACCTTGTGAAATTACAACCTCGTTGTCCAGGAAAGCTTTCTTTACACGATAAACTTCATTTGGCGAATAAAAGAGACAGTTTGTCATCAGTCAAAAGAGTATTAACATTGGCAGTTGGTGCTGATTGTAGTACTAGCAGTCCTGGCTGACAAATACGTCTGCATTGCACAATCGGCTCGCCATAGATCTTTCAAAAATTGAACAAACATCTACCTGTAACCTCCACTTTTTTGACTTGGCACAACGCACACTAACAGCAAGGAAACGCAGAAGCGGGTCAAAACAAATGGGAACAAAGAAGAAAACGGAGAGGAGACAAAATTCATTATAAGGACTGGATGCAATTAGGTTGGCAAAATGCACGTGCTGCTGTTGGACGTGGCAATTTCTGCTGATTCTGTTTGGAACCAAAAATGCATCGCTGTGCATTGCTGGTAATTGCATAGTGTGGTTCCAAGCACCGAGTAAACGAAGGACAGATAACGAGGCTTGTATCTCATTGGTGACCATTATCTTAATACATTCAATTTGCATCACTGGTAGGTACATGTACATGTACATGTACCCGCTGCTTCATTTGATTCGGACCGGCCAGCCGACCCCGGCAAGCTCGGCTGTCGAGTGGTTAAGACATCTGCACTAGTAAGCAGCAGGTCATGGGCTCGAGTCCCACCCGAGTAAGCTTATGAGGTTTTTTTCACAAGCTCTCGGACAAGCACTGAGCATACAGTGCTTAATAATATACGTTGGGTAAGGGCAAAACCTGTTATATATAATTAATATTCGAATGCAAAATTCATGAAAAGGAAGGGAAAATATTCTTTTGCTTTAAATGAAAAAAATTGCACTATGGAGGCTTGTTTCAAGCAGATTCAACTGAAAAGCAACAGAAATCCTACAACCATATAAAAATAAATTTTTCATTAAACAATTTAAAAGAAGTAGAAATTTTCAATGGGGCAAGAAGTCTTGTTCATCTCTTAAATCTTGCTAAACCATGGCTGGAGATACTCCCGGATGTAAGAAGCTATTATATTAATCATAATGTACAATTGTGTGTGTTATTGCAACTGATTTGTATATGGTTTGTTCATCATCAATCTGCCACTCGGTGGAACCGAATATTCGGATATTCGATCAAATTGAAGGTCGAATATTCAAATAGTGAATTATTCGAATTGACTCAGCCCTATCCTGTTCCCAGTCTCCTGCAGGTTATGCTCTCATGTATGTAGAATGCACACATACCGGTACATGCTCCGTAATTCTCATCCCACATGTGACCCACTCTGTGAAAATAAGTCTTAAGTCACCAGAGCCACTTTTTGAGTTTTCATTTGTACTAGAAAGAGCTAACTCAGTTTTTTGTTTTGAAGTATCACTCAGTTTGGCATCCTAATGAAAGTGGATACTCCACGGTGACAAACGCTGTGGGTTCCTATTGATTTACACAGTGCAAAATTACTCTAAAACACTTTTTACTCCAAAGTAGCTCTGGCTACTTAAGACTCATTTTTGCAGAGTGGGTCCCATATGTGGCTGCAATTGAGTTAAAGTACGTTCAGCTTTCACAAACTTGCAGTGCCAATACTTGAACTCATTTTAGAAATTCACATTCATGTTTGATTAAGCCAATCAAGTTTCATAATCTACACGTAGACTAGCCTTGGGGCAAACAAAATTTAGACAGGCATGACGGACCAGCAGACATGGCAGAGCAGATAAACGACCACACGAAACGACCACACATCAATACATGTATTTGATTAATTTACTGGGGCACATGAATGCACATGAAGTAATGAAGTAACATGCGATGTTTCATGACATTGCCGGCTTCAGTGATCCAACTCTCTATACCGTTTTAACAGTCGGGATGACGTCACTGAGTCTTGGTTCTTCTCTCTGATTGGTCAGTTGGTGGCTATTCCATATTTCACACTCGAAACTCAAAGGGGCAAAAATAGTGTTGCAGTCTACAGGGAAAATCTGAACTCTTAACCTTCACATCAAGGCCTATGTCCCAAACTGCACTACGACTAGAGCTATGAATCATGTTGCAGCAAAAAAGGAAGAAAACATGCAGATCCCTGTACAAAGTGAATGGAGAGTTGCCCCTTAGCCCAGGCGTGAGTGCAATAAATGGAACAACCTCATCTAATCCTTCCTCCATGCTCCGACCATAAGCCTTATTGCAAATACTGCATCATTTCAACTCACTCAGCCCACATAACTTCTTGCAAATACTGCATGGGTGATTTTACACAATGATAGAAACGCATTGTGGGAGAGAAAAAGGAGCAAACATTGCCCCTTTTTCCTTCCCACAATTCGTTTCTGCCACTGTACACAATCACCCATGCAGTATTTGCAAGAAGTTGTGTGGGCTGAGTGAGTTGAAATGATGGATAGGCCTATGCTGAATGCATTCTACATGTTTTATCAAAAATACCTCAGAACAGAAGTCAGATTAAAGAAAAAAGGGGGGCACCAGCATTTCCTCTCTGTCTTTCAAAACATGTTTTAACCATATAAATAGGCTCAACACTTCGTTCGATATACAGAAAGCGCTCAAATTCTCCGTTAAAAGGACTTACTTTTGTCAGTAAGCTTGATCGTCATGCATACGCGTAGGAAATCTAATCGAGGTCTAGTTCGGATTAAATAATCGCCTGATGATGGACAGCGCCCTCGTGTGGAGAAACGTTGAAAATTAGTCTGGCGCAATCCGAAATTTAAGCAGATTGTGTCGACATGGTGGAAAACCCGGCCAAGTTTCTCCTGTGTTTTTTCACGCGAGAGAACTGAATCGCAGGAAAGCTTTGTGATCAAGAGGTAAGATTCGAAAGTTCTGTTAATAAAGATTTATAAGTCAGAGAATATGCTACATGAATTTGAATCATGTGAACAGGAGACGTTAATTTAGTTGCAGCATGAATTGGCGTCAGTGTCATGTATGCAGGCATGATATGTTGCTGCGCATTATAAAATTGATCATCCGATGCTGTTTGCTTCCCAGGCTCACACACGGGCTGTCACAGGCGCACCCAATCTGCCACTGAATCCAAATGGGCGTGGGGCCCTGTTGAGGAGTAGATAGTGGAAGGAATTCCTTTTGTGTTATGTTCAAATACTGATTGTGCAAATTCCCTCACATCTTGATATGCTTAATCTTGAAGTCTGACTAAGTATCCATCAATTTATCCAGGCTTCATATCCATTGCTGGTTATTGCAGGCTTCAACCTTAAGCTTCAGGGGGTCAAGGCCACTTGGCCTTTAATGCTCCCAAAAACCAAAGGGCACCAAGGCCAACTGAAAGGGCACCAAGGCCACTTTGAAATGTTTGTTGGTGACTTTAACAGATTTTCCTTCAATTTCAACACAGTGTTAAACTTTCAACCTGCAATTTTTATTGTTTCTGTTCACATTGTGAGCAGTGTGCTTGAATTGTAGAAATAAAAATAAATAATACTGCACTATCTTTTAACTTACCATTTTGTGTTTTGTCTAATTACTTTACATGATGCTATAAAGGCAACACTGTATTTCGAAAATCAATGTAATTACAAACAATGCAATTCAAGCAAGTCGATCACTTGGTCACAAACATTTACCCAATAGAAGCCCACTGTCATGCCCAGGGCCCGCGTGAATACCAGTAAAATAGCGAGGAAAAAACTCCCGTCCGCAATCCCAAGATAATAGTGACTCGGTCTCAATATGTGCAACGTACATAATCCAATCGGTGCAGAATGTGTATTCCTGTGCCGCGATTTGTAACCAGTCTATGTGTGAAAGTAGTCTGGTGCCACATTTTTAGAGTCACAAAACTCACCCATTTGATATGGTTGCCATACCATGTTGTCTACAGGGCGATGCAAAACCAGTCCGTGAAAAAAAAAAGATCTTGGTGCAGCTGACCGGCCCTTGAAAGAAATGCTAGCACTAAACGGTAACTTGAAAGTTGAATACAACTTTAAATACATGAAGGCCTACTGATCATTGAAGAGGGGCACATTGGCCAAGTGGCTGAAAAGTACATGCTATTTTTAAAGGGCATCACGGCAATTCACTGGGGCATCACGGCAGTGGCCGCTGGTGGCTGCTATAAAGATTGAAGCCTGTTATTGGGTCCTAGTTTATCCATGGCATGAAGGATATGTTCTTATACGTCAATGGGTTATCAAATGTTATAGGTTTAGCACAATTGAAATTACATGTTGTAACATGTTCTGAAGTTTGTCTTGACACTATCCCTGCCTGGGCTAAACTAACATCACAATGAACAACCATTGACTTAAGTTACATGTGTTTTTATTTGCAGAAATGCTACATAGGCCACAACCAAAGAAGGTCATAGCAAGCTACACTTTGACTTCAAAGAGCCAGCCAGACATGTAAAACACCCAAACCAAGACTGTTGGGAAAAAGAAATGGAGAAACATATACCAGAGCTCTTTCTTGACCTGAGCGAGGGTGACGTGCTCTCCTTCATGGGACAGAGCTGGCGTATCGTCAGTTGTCGCGGCATGGGCCGTTGTGCGAAGGTTTACCATGCTGTGTCGAGTGAGGGCGGTGCACAGGTGGCCATTAAGGCCTTCCGCAGAGAAGAGAAGTATAGGTTGGTCTTCATCAAGGAGATCCGGAACCTGGATGCCGTCTATATGAGCAGGCATATTGGTGAGACTCAGAGGTCCCCAGCCTCCTTTCCAACCCCACTCCCCCTTCCCCAACCCCTTCGCCACGTGTTCCCTTACCCTTTGCTACCCCTTCACCACTCTAACTAATCAACCTCCCACTTTCCTCCCTCTAGTCCTTTTCTTTCACCCGCCTTCCGACCCCACCCCTTGGGACAAAATGTGATTTGACATCTCTGTGTCAAAAGGATATCATTGTAGTGATGCTGCTTTGAACATTTCAAAGTGAATTGGATGAGTAAAGCTCTTAAATTGTTCTCACAAGGTCTTTGAAACTAATCTCAACTTAATATTCTTACATTGAAGTCCGCTCTAAGTTACTGTCCCAGTAAAATTGTACAATTCCATGCTTAATGGCCATTCATTAACCCCACCCTGCCAGTCGCAGCACAGCGCATCAACAGCAGCCGAACAAACTGGTCATGTGGATACAATGGGAGCTAGTCCCATTGAACAGTGACACTGTCGGCAACCACAGACTCCCAGGCTGTTTGGTCTTAGGGAGAGTTGACCTGTTGGATTTTGTTACACTGAGCAAACAAGCCACGTTGAGAAATGATGCAGACTGATGTGTCAAGCAGGATTTCTAGCCAAAGTAGGCTAGAAGGTTACGGTTAAACTAAAAGCAAGTTGTCACTTTCAGGACTGTCAAGAAAGCAATTACATGTATCTTTTAACCCTAACTCCCCAAGGGTTGCTGGCCCTAACCTTCCCCATTCACAAAGGTAAACACCCATATGG